CATTCATATGGAAAGTATACTACCAGATAATCTATCCTAGGGATACGGAACAAAGAGTCCCGCAGACCAGATTAGATCAAGGGAAAACATATAATGAGAAGCAAGGGGAAAGAAATGGGATAGATTAATACATTTAGGATAAGGCACAAGCCATGTAGAAGAACCATACCACCTGAATCCTAAGTGCACAATGTAGATCTCCCTCTCTCTCCCTCTCTCTCTCTCTCACTCTCTTACTCTCTCTCTCTCACACTCTTTCTCTTTCTCTCTCTCTTTTCCCATTAGTCTCTCCCTCTCTTCTCTTCCTCTCTCTCTCCCTTCCTCCCTCTATAAGAATTTTGCCTTCATAATGGTTTCTTAAAAATATTAAGTACCTATTAATATAAAGAAATGGTGGGAGATAAAGTGGTTGACATATATTGGGACAAAAAAGGCTCAAAAGTCAATGTAAAGAATGTCAACCTACATCCTATAAGATTCCTACCTGTAAGCATAGTGCATGATACCTAGTGGATATAAAATATGTTTTTATACATTATTTTAGTGAGTTTTGTGGTCATGAAGAAAATGAACTTAGGATAATTTTTAAAATATATATTGATTTTTTTTTACTATAAGTAAGAGAATAATAAGCTATGTTATGACATAATTTGGAGGAAATATTATTTGGAAAAAAGGAAAAATGCTTTAGAGTTAAATTTGAAATCGACTTTACTTTTTAAATCTCATTCTGTTAACTAGGCTTTTCACAGAAATGACTTTCATTCATCTAGAGCCAAATCATCTCTCCTACAATATTTGTAACATTAAGGGTAATATCTTTATCTTATGATACAGCCTGATACTACTTTCTCATCAGTTCCTTTTCTGGTTACCACTAAAGGTAACTTCCCTTCTCAGAACCACTCTAGTATATATCTCTCTTCTCATCTGGCAATTTTTGCTTTCATTATAATCATTTGTACATTACATTCTATTTTTTCACTTAATTTTAAGATTTTTGAAAGCAGGAACCATATCTTATTTATATTTGTTTTCCTCAGAGGGCTTGCCCTGGTACCTTCCTTACACATAGATGATATTCAGTAAGTATTTGATGAAAGCTGAAAGAACTATTGTATGACCCAATTTAGTATCCCAGGAATCAATTCAGAAAGCAGCAATCATCTTCTGGATGAGAGATCAGCAAACTTTTTCTGTAAATTTGAGTAAATGTTTTAGTCTTTTAAGAAGCAAAATCAAGGATTTTGCTTAAGAACTATGTAATGAGAAAAGAAATATTCACAAAGTTTTTAATTATGAAATTGGAAATATAATAATTGAGTACAATTTTTTGTAATTCAAGTCTACTAATGAGAAAAATGGCGTTCTTTGGGGGGGGGGGATAACATTTAGCTAGCTTATTGCCATTCCCTATCATCAAAATTTTCTGTTCATCTGTTAATGCTGACCTTTAATGAGATTTTGCATATTTCATGTATTTGATCTTTGAAAATTCTTTTTACACAGATAAATACTACCAAATACTGCAATTCATTACCATCTGATTTTAATTGAGCATGTTCATTGCTTGGAAGGAATTCTGTTACATTCTTCTCTTAATATTTGCCTTCTAGCATGATGTTATTACATTATAGATGAATCATTTCCAATTGAAGGTTAGGTGAAATCTCCTCAATTTCACAGTCAAATAGATTTTGAAATACAGAAATTTCTTACTTCTAGGTCTAAAATACACTGTTGAAACTGTTTGAGTTCAGAAAATCTACCTGCTGTAAATTTGTGTGGTAATAAAAATTTCACTTCTTATTTTAATTTTTGACAGCACAGGAAGTGTATAAAAGCTGCTTAACATTACTCGTGATTCAAATGTTAGTTGTCATTAAAATGACTTTACTCCAGTGGGTGTCATGTAGTTTTACATTTAATTAGTTAACAAACATTATAAAGTCAATTTATTTTTCAATTGTATTGAGGGCAGTTCTACTCATTCAGAAAAATTGCAATCTCAATCTTTAAAAAATCTCCATAAAACTTTACCATGGCTAAGCCATCAAGCTTCTGTGTGATAGGACAAGTCAGGATATTCTGGTTCTATTTCTGACAAAAAATTTACAGAACTAATGAAGATTAAATCCACAAGAGTCAATGGAATTTGCTGTTGATACTACAGGTTCAATAACACATAGCTTTAAACATCTTACATTTTCACAAGCCTTGTAAATTTGTCCAATAACTCTTTTTCTGTTCCATAGCTATAAGTTTCATTGCATCTTAGCAGATTCCATTTCAGGTTGTACTGGTTTAGTGTTTTCTTTGAAAATGTTTCACTTATTCTCACCCCAGACTATTTATACAGGTTAATTCTTTGGTCACTTCATACTCACCATTGACTCCTCAAATGAACAGCTGAGCAGTATTGCTAACTTCTGTTGACTCATCAAGAGCCAAAAAAAAAAAAAGTTCGAAAGTATTTGCCTGGTTTTTTAATCAACTATTGATGCTGCTCCAGAGTCCTCAACGTTTCAAGCAACTGTTCTCGCCAAAAGGCCAATAATCTTAAACCAATTTATCTTTGCTGCACAATTTAATTAAGTCGCCATCAGTAAGGCACTTTCTTTGCTAGGCTAACAAATGAAATGAGCACTCAGAAATGTATTTGAATTGCAGCCTCATTTTCATTTTTTTGTGAAGAAATTTTGCTGTGATAAAATACTCCATTTTAAAATTTCTAATTTTTCTGACTGTTGCATTCCTGTGAGGTAGGAATATTGTGTTGACTGCTTGGTCTGATAATGTTAAAGTATAGTGTATATTTTTTAAAGCACAGATGCGATGTCATTGCATAATAAATACAAGGTTTTGCCATCTAATTTGATAACAAAATAATCCACATTCCATTATGCTTTAAAAACGCAACATTCAAAGTCCATTTTTCTTGTTTTGGCATAATCGGTATGAACTGGTACTGAAACAAAATGTCACAGTAAGACATGTATGTTCCACTTGGAACGTTGTGTTGACTGCTTGGTCTGATAATGTTAAAGTATAGTGTATATTTTTTAAAGCACAGATGTGATGTCATTGCATAATAAATACAAGGTTTTGCCATCTAATTTGATAACAAAATAATCCACATTCCATTATGCTTTAAAAACGCAATATTCAAAGTCCATTTTTCTTGTTTTGGCATAATCGGTATGAACTGGTACTGAAACAAAATGTCACAGTAAGACATGTATGTTCCACTTGGAACACTGTCAAGTTATAACCGCATCACTGCAGTTTGTAGGGCACCAAGCATCACTGCAAAGCAATGACTGTGCCACAGAAGATCTCTGCTATAACTACTCAGCTCTGCTATTATAGTGCAAAAGCAGCCACAGACAATACGAAAATGAATGAGGATGGCTGTGTTCTTCTAACACTTTATTACGTACACTGAAATTTTAATTTTATATAATTTTCACATCTTTAAATAGTATTCTTTTGATTTTTTGCAACATTTAAAAACTGTTCTTAGGTCATGAGCTCTACAAAAACAGATGATGATCTGAGATTTGGCTTGTAAACCAGTTTGCCGATTCTATTTAGGACTTAGTTTTAAGGATATGATGTTTGCTTTATTCCCAAACTATTCTTAGAAAAATATTTGGAATCGTGTAGTTGAGGAGTAGAATATTCTTCTTAAGGAGATATGAATCAGTTATTAAAGTTGTCATGTACACCAGAATATAATACAAAAAGTTAGAGTACAACTAACATACTTCACACCTAGGATGCGTAAGTCAGAAGGTACTGGTGGACTTTGTACTGCCAGTGTTTTCATTTTAAAAACCCAAGATCATTGTGTTAACTATTATTAGAGATTTCAGGTGAGTGGTGAGTGTTCCCAAAATATTATTTAAACATTTCCCTGAATTGGGAAAGAAGCCCAGGATAACTTCCAAATCTGGGCAGTATATCAGTAGCAGCCTTTCAGAACACAACCCTTCCTACATTTATTGAACCTCTGGATTGATTTTCGAGGAACTTCCTCAGTTTTCATTTCTTATCTATGTTGTACAGGGCATCAGAGGCAGCCCAGGAAGAGCAGGACTGGCTGGGTCTCCAGGTCCTCGAGGATTAAAGGGTTCATCAGGCCTGCCAGGAAGCCCAGGAGTACTAGGCCCAAAGGTACCTTAATGTTTTGTTCTGATGTGTGAGCAATATTGGCCATTCATATTGGCCCTGAGTTTATTTGCTAGATCACAGGATGGTAATATTAGTAGCTTTTAATAAAATTTTGGCTAATAGTAAAAACACACTATGGAAAAAGGAAAGTGTGTAACCTTGACATATCTATTTCCCACAATAGCCACAATGCTTTTAATTTGGCACAAAAACTCATTAACCCAATGCTTTAAAAAACGCTTTGACTCATTTTGATTTTTTCCTTCACTGTCATCTACCCTGTCCTCTAAAACAAATAAATCTTATTTACTTCCAGATGTGTACTTTCTTAAATATACTTCCTGTTCCTCTAAGTCTGAACCTAACCAACTAATTAATAAATCTGATAACAGTACAGATTATTTCTTAGAGTCAATGTGATAATAGTTAAGTCTTGCATTAGCATTCATTGCATGGATTATTGTCACATGTCAATAGACTTTCCAGACAAAACCTCTTAGAACTGTCTCAAAGCAGATTTGCCCAGACAATTTAGAGATTAGTTCAGTGTCTAAAGCTATTTCATAAAAGCCTAGGATTAAGACATTGGCATCCTTATCATTATTAGCTCTTAATTTTCACATCTCCATTTCTAAAGAATGTTCAGGTTTCTGACCCATATGGGCAAACTGAAAATGATGACCCAATTGCCTACTGTGTGCAATTTTAGCCTTCTATTAACATTTATACCATGAATATCCCTTTCCACTAAAACCTCAGGCAGCTGAGCAAATGCTAAAACTAGCAAAAGAAATAAGAAAAATCCCTACGTCTTATGTGTGAATATGCAATAAAAAGAATCCATACTTGTCAAGTCCCAAGGTTATACCTTTATCTTAAGACAGTGAAAGATAATTTGTTATTTTTAAAGAATCTTTGGTCCAACACTACCAAGCATCATTTTTCATTAACCTATCTATAAAATCCACCTGATTCCTAAATCTATTTTTAGAATGGTATGAGATATTCCAGCTCTCATTTCAAAAACAAAAAAAGAAAAAATACTTAACTTTTAAAAATACAATAGTGGTGATTAAGTGTATCATCAAAGCGAACTTTTAGGGGATAAAGACAGTTTATATAAAAGGAACCTAGGGAAACAGAAAATGGAAATTTCTTAATAATGGAATTAAAAACATAATCATGGTAAAAACCAGGGTTCACACCTCAGGAGACTGCTCTGTTTCTGGTATCTGATAGCCAAATTATCACTAGGTGGTAGGAAAAACACAGCAAAATGATATCAATTCTAATAAAATACAAGTTCCATATGTATAAACACACACCCACACACAGCGCACCCTCACAATCCCCTCTGTAGCCCAGCTATCCTCCTCCCAGTTTTATCCTTCCCTCTGGAATTTTTTTCACACTGTTACACTTCTTCATTATAATCAAATATTGCTTGAGTGAAAAATATTAGTGGAGAAAATGATGCAGAATTTGATTTCCCCAGTGCCTTGTACTATGCCTAAGGAAGGGCCTGTATTTGGGTTTCATTTAAAAGCCAGTGTGTTTATAGGTTCTGAAGTCAGGATCACCTTTCTTTGTTCTGTCCATAGGGTGAACAAGGGCTGCCTGGTCAACCTGGAATTCAAGGTAAAAGAGGTCACCAAGGAGCACAGGGTGATCAAGGACCTTGTGGAGAGCCTGGCCTGAAAGGGCAATCTGTATGTGCCAACTCAGAAATTCACCAAACACTTATTCTACAGACCAGGCCACTGTTGCACAATAATGATTATCATGTCTGTTCATTCACATTGCAGGGAGAACATGGTGTTCAAGGTTTGACAGGTTTCCAAGGATTTCCAGGTCCCAAAGTATGCTTATTTATTTTCTGCTAATATTCTAGCTGTCTTTTAGAGAGAGAGAGAGATTGAAATATCAATATTTAGTCTTTGACTTGAACTTTTATTTTTTTAAACTGCAGAATTTTATTTGATACAGAGTTATATATTTGAGTTTTGAATATGTTACATTTAAAACTTATATAGCTATACATTTTCCTGGAATTTTATTGTATGATTAGCGTTGGTTCCCTCTCATTCCTTTTTCTCAAGTATTTTATTATGAAAATTATCAAACATGTGGCAAAGTTGAGAGAATTTTATACTGAACACACCTATATCTATTACCTAGATTCTACCATTAACATTTTACTCTACTTGCATTATCATGTGCCTATCCATCTGTCCATCCCTCTCTACCTCTGTCTGTTTTTAGTGTTTTTCCAAGTAAATTGCAGCCCACAGTACACTTCCTCCTAAATACTTCAGCATGCACCTTATAAACTATCACAATCCACTTTTTAGGAGCCAATTCTTGAGTGGCACAAAGTTATTTCATTTGTAAAGTGTTCATATAGAGCTAAAACTTCTGGCTTTTTGTTTTTCATTGTGTGTCTAGGGTCCTGAGGGGGATGCTGGCATTGTTGGAATATCAGGTTCTAAAGGCCCTATTGGACAGAGAGTAAGTATAAAGTCATTCTGCCTACCCAGAAATTGTGGCTGTTTGTTTATTGCAGGCCTTAAGAACTCTAAAATTTATATACTTCAAATTGGTAACTTAATAAAATGACTTTTTAAAGACAGAAACTCATGAGAACACATGCAGAGTTCAACCTTTTGCAGTTAGTATGTTAGTTTGAGCAAAGTACCCCATAGACCAACCCTACTTCCCAGTTCTTTAAAGAAAAAGAATCATCAGAATTACTGTGCAGACTGGATAATGTATTTATTAACTCATACCAGGAACAAAAACCTAAAGCAGTTTCATACAACCAGTTTTAATACAACCAGAGACCAGAGACCACCCCCATGCACCACCTGGGTGGGGCTTGTGTATGACCAGAACTCTTGAGACCACACTTTGAAAAGTATTTCTCAATAGCTGTGTTTTCCTAGCTCAGGGGGCAGGTGTCCCAAGAGAGGGATGAGGAACTGCTTAAAGAGCTGCAAAACTCAGGGTCTGAAGAACTCCAATTAGCAGTTTAGTGCCTGTAATTACAAGCCATAGAGAACATAAATAGGACAAATGAGCCACCAGCAGTTACTGGTTATTGTTTTTGTTTGGTTTTTGCTTTTTTATTTTGTTTTAGCTATTTTTAATCATACCCTCCTAATTGATAAGACATCTGTAAAACTAAAAAGAAAAAAAAGTAAAAAACTTTAAACAGTGGTTTGGCTGTAGTAGTAGTTCCTCTGTGACTAAGAGCAGCTGCGAGGGCAAGTGTGGAGAGAACAGAGGAAGAAGGGAAGCAGTTCAGATCCAGGAAAAAGAAACCTTGAAGAACTTCTTAGCTGAAAACCACTGTCTTGTACAAAATATTAAATAGAAAGTCAAATGTTTGAAATCCTACACCCCTTCCCTAACTCTAAAATAAATTATTTTTGATAATACGAAGAACAGTATCATCATGGGAATTGTTTAAAGATTCTTCTCAACATTTCTTTGAGTATAAATTTATTAGTTATTTTCATAATTTCTGAAGAACCAAGGAAAGTTGGTGCTTTTACGTAAAGTCCGATTCTTGGACTTCTCTATAATAAATATTGAATTTAAGTTCCCCCACTAGTTAAACCCATTCGTTCTAGTTTTATAAAGTTCTCAATTAAATCCTTTCTTGATATTGTCAGAGAGAAGTTGGCTGCCTGCCTAGCACCTGTCCTAAGCAGGGTCTCATGAAGTGCAGGGTCTCTGTGGGCCAGCATCTGAGCCTATATTGCTTTCCAGATCCAGAATTGTTATTAGCTCATTAGTAAAGTTATGGTAACTATCTCAAATACTAATTTATAAGCACAGGTATTCATTTATGAAGTCATAATAGAAAACAAGTGAAAAGTCTTAATAGGTTAATATTTAGCAACAAACTATTATGTACCAGGTACTGGTTTTCAGTTTGTTTCCCTTATCTCATTCAATTCTCATAAAAATCTTATGAGAGATGCTATTATCCCCATTTTGCAGGTGGAGAAACTAAGTATCTGAAAGATAATTTGCTCAAGGCCATACGTTTGGCTAGTTTGTAGAGGAGCCAGAATTTTAATCCACATCTGATTGACCAAATCATATGTTATAAGGTTGCTTGCAAATTGCAGAATCAGAAGATAGAATGGATATTAAGTGGTCTAGTGCCTAGTTCTTGCCCAAAAATTAATAAATATTTGATGATTAAATAGAAGTAATTGAATTAGTAAATCTGGAGTATGTGTCCTTCATTTCTTTTTTTTAAAGATGACCAGTAAGGGGATCTTAACCCTTGACTTGGTGTTGTCAGCACCACGCTCTCCCAAGTGAGCCATGGGCCGGCCCTGTCCTTCATTTCTAACATGTATTTATGTAGATAACAGGTACCCACCATTAAAATCATAGCATCTCACCTTTTGAACATTACAGACATTGTTTGCTCTTTCGTTCTACTTTTTCTAGGCTCCATGTATACCTCTTCTTTATATTAACAAATCATTATTTAAGAGAGTCTCATCACAGTTAAGTTTATTAGATTAGAGGTTCCTTGACTTTTTTTTTCAGTGCCAAGCCAGTCTAGAGAATATATTTAATTAAGTTAAGAAATCAAGTCTCTTGATTCAATTGTGAATCTTTGAAATTAGGGTACCATTTTTACAAATTATCACTCAAAGTCAACCTTTGTGTTTAAAAGTGATTCCATTAGATTTGCTTTAAGAGTATTAGGTAATTTGGGGCCAGCCCGTGGCTCATTTGGGAGAGTGTGGTGCTGATAACACCAACGCCATGGGCTCAGATCCCTGTATAGGGTTGGCTGGTTGGCTCACTTGGGAGAGCGTGGTGCTGACAACACCAAGTCAAGAGTTAAGATCACCTTACTGGTCATCTTTAATAAAAAAAAAAACGAATCAGGTAATTTTATTGTAGACCAACTTAATATTAAAGCTATTAATACAGGGACCACATGGCATTATAATTATCTCAATTGATAGTAATTTTTATACCTTGGCAGGAGTTGGAAAAAAGAGAAAGACTGTTAGATATCAACACTTATGTATTCCAGGTTAAGCATGAGCCAGAAAGACATATTTGCAGTCAGTGGGAGTTAGGGTGAAGTCTGAAAAATAAATAAATAAATAAATAAATAAATAAATAAATAAATAAATAAATAAATAAATAAATAAATAAATAAATAAATAATGGGTATTTTGTATTCATCAAGAAATGATAGGCTCCATACTTAGTTTGGGAGAAATTGACCAGAGATCTAGCTTATTCGAGTTTATCTTTGTAATCAAATAACAGCTTATAGATTAAAACCATTTTTAATATTTAATTCTCACAAAGGCCCTATGAAATAGGCGTTCTTATTCCTATTTTACAGATGGAAAAACTGAAGTTTAGTTCGTCACATATGACGTCCTCTTGTTCTTTCCTGTACTCTCTCTTGATTCCATGTTTTGTGTCACTCAAATATCTACTCCTTTAACATCTATATAAATTTATCCAAAAATGTGTTCATCATTCTGTTTTTTTTTCATATAAACTGGTTTCATCTGTTATATATGACACACATACAAAAATACATCATTGAAGTTATCACCATTATAAAAATTATAATGCTGATTTGTCAGCTTGTTAAAAATTATAGGTATAACTCTCCTGAAAGGAAACTATTAAAATTTGCAGAAGTGCGTCATACATTGTTAATCAAGATTACTGTCACTTATGCTAATGTTATAAGCTTTTGATAAAAAACAATAATTATGTGGACATGGCTATTTCACCATTAAATTATCTGAAATTTTTCTGAATTATACTGACAATGAGACTGACTTTTTCTTTTACCCCTACAGGGAAACACTGGCCCCCTTGGTAGAGAAGGTATAATAGGCCCAACAGGTAGAACTGTAAGTTTGTTATGTTACAGGTCTTTCTTTATTTTTCATACTTTTTTTTTTTAACTTTAATCCTATTTCTAGAATAATCCTTAAAGAATCAGGCTGGATATTTGAGAGGCAAAGGGCAAAAATAGTACATTTTCTTCTGTAAGGTGATTCCTGAGAATTGAGGGATCATATGTAACATGAAGAATGTGTAAATAGTGAGCTAGGCATTTAAACTGGAGTTGCGAGAAGAAAATTGAACTGAGTTGGGGAGGGGGAGCGTATCATGAGCATAGAGATGATCTAAAGCAGTAAAAATGCATCAGTTTTCTAAGAAGACAGATAGCAAAAGAAGTTCAGAAGCCAAGATTTGAGTCTTTAGTGGTACCCACTGTAAAGGAAAGAAAGATATAATGGTGGGAATAGAGGGAAAACCAGGACAGTACAAGGTTAGATAAATAAGAGTTTCAAGAAAGGAGTTATCAGCAGTGATCTTTGAGAGAAAAAGTTGCAGTAGAAGATGTAGTGCAGGTTGCGGTGAAAAAGAAATAGTTGTAAATATTTAATAATAACTTTTCTCAGATTCTTACAGCAAACTTTTGGATTAGATATTATTATTTTCATTTAATAGATGAGGAAATAGATGAGGTTTATAGACGTTCACCTAATGATTCAAGGTGATAGAGCTAATAAATTACATAGCTGATGTTTCTTAAAGACCAGTGCTCTTTCACTCCATTCAAGCTATGTCTGAAAAAATTGAGACAGTATATGCCAGTGCTTTAAGAAATTCAGCTATGAAATAACACAGAGAAATAAGACAATGATTGGGGAGGTGGTTGTGGGAAAGTTTTGCAATACTGATAATAGTATAAACAAACAAAGAGAAGGAGCCCAGTTGAAAGGGTCAAATTGATACTTGGAGAGGAAAGATTCATTCTCTGCAGGGAATCAATATATCAAATCATTTGAAAGTGTTATTATAGACACATGGTTTAAAAATACATAAATGGAATGCTTCAAGTGTTAAGTACAACTATTCTCTTTGACAAATTTAGAGAATTCACCACCAAAGTTACTGAATTTTTTACCAAAAGAAATAAAATGTTTAACTCAACATTTCTCTGGACTTTTAGCATTTGCCACTCAGAACTATATAAGATTGTAAATGCGAGAATTCTCATATTTCAGTAGGTGGTTCTTCAGCAAGCTAAGGAACACATACTGTTCTGACTACAGAACAATTGTTCTCTGCCAAAAATGTGAAATGTTAATTGGTCAAGGAAAATGTGATAAAGAAATGGCTCAATTAAAATATCTTACTGTGTTTTGTTTATAGACAGTTCTTAAAGGCCCTTATATTCAGCATGCACATCAAATTCTTTCCATCTTCTATTTTTTCCATTCTAAAAAGAAAAGTTTATTATAAAAGAATATGCATTTGAGAATGGCAAAAACATTTTGAAGAAAAATAGTTGTGGGGAGTGAGGGTCTTGCTTTTCTAAATAAGAAAACAATACTGCAAAGTTATTGTAAATAAAACTATATGGTAGTACAAAGAAACAAACAAACAGATTGGTGTAATAGACTACAGCCCAGAATTAGATCTGAGAATATATAGGAATTTAATTACGACAAAATTATGAAGTAAGTCAGACACAAAAAGACAAATACAGCATGGTATCACTCATGTGGAATCTGAAAAAAAAAAGTGGTTCTCATAGAAGTAGAGAATATAATAACAGTTAATGGTTACCAGAGGCTGGACGGGGGGGTGGCAGGAGGAGGGAGGAGGAAAGTGGTGAACTAATTGATACAAAACTATGCTATCTATCCTAAGTGAATCATTGTGCAGCATATGCATGTATTGAAGCAACATACTGTACCCCACAAATATGTACAAGTAAATGTTAAAGTATTAAATAAATAAACACCCTCAAAAATGGTATATCAGTTTGGATGATTTTGGCTACAAGTAATAGGAACCCTGAATTGAACTGGCTTTGACAATAAAGAAATTGCACATTATAGCACATTATAGGAAGACCAGAGGTAGGAAGGACTGCAGATTTGTTTAATTTGATGACTCTATCATGTTACCTAAGACCAGGTTCCTTCCATATCTCTACTCTGCTATCCTGAACATTGGCTTCATAATTAGGCTTATAGCAAGATGGCTACAGTTTCTCAGGAGTCACATCCAGACATAATTATCCAATGTGAAAAGTTGTCTACAAAACTATCATGGAAAAAGTAAAAAATTTTCCAGAAGTCCCCCATTGCATTTTTCCTCATGTGTAATCGACCAGCATTCAGCCACATGCCTGCTCCTACAGCAGTGACAGGGAAGGGAGATGGAATTACTTTGAGTACCGCTACTGCTACAAAAAACTGGAATCCCATTTTGCTAAATTTTTTGTTTCAGATCCTAGATGAGCTTTTAAAGACTTCATTCTATGAGCAAAAATGTTAGTTAGTTAAAAAAGAAAAAAAAAGAGTAAACTTCAATGTAAAAAATGAAGCAAAAATCTTAGAAAAATAATCCAGAAAACTGAAGTGTAGCTTAAGAGTCAAGGAGACATTTTATATAGGATAGGAAATCTGAAAGCTATAAAAGAACAGAAAATATATTTGAATACTTGAAAATTTTTAAATTTTACATGGAAAAAAGGTTCCACAAATAAAGTCAAAAATTAATATAGGTTGGTAAAAAAAATATTTGCAAAGCATACAACATATAACAGGTTAATGTACAAAGAGCTCTTGCAAATTGGTCTGAAAAAGATGGAAAACTCAATAGAAAAATGAAAAACAAATCCAAAAGGTCAATTATTATTTTAAAAGACCCTCACCTAACTTTAAGTCAGAGAAATGCAAATTAAAGTAATAATTAAATATTACATCTAATGTCTCAGAAGGGAATACAGGGAAAACAGTGCTCACATTTATCACTGCTACAAGTGTGAGTTACAGCCTTTAAGGAAAGATATTTGTTAAATATAAGTACATATACCCTTTAACCAAGCAGTTCTACTTTGAAGAATTTGTCCCATGGATATAAAAACACTAATAGGAGATTTTACAAAGATTTTTTTTCACAATACTGTTTGTATTGGCAAAAAAAAAAAAAAGACATCATTTGTATGCTCATCTGTAAAGGAATGGTTGAGTAAATTGTGGTCTAGCCATTTCATGGAATATTGTCCAATTATTAAAAAGAATCAGTTATATCTAGTTTGGCCAACATGCAATTATTTCACAATATATTTTTAAGTGAGAAAAGCATGATGCATAGAAGAGTAATATAATATGATCCCAATATTAGAAAACATGATCAATATCTCCCATAAATATGTAAATATACTTATCAATATTTGATTAGAAAAAAGTATGAAAAGATATATACCAGGTTGTTAATACTGGGTTGAGAGTGGAGCAGGATGTAAAAACAAATAAACAAAAAAAGAGCTGTAAAGAAAAGTCACCTTTGAAAGTTAATACTGTAGTTTAAAATGGTTCAGGACAAAACAGGAAACAAAAAGAAGTAATATAAATGGCAAATAAATAATAAGATAGCATTTTTAGCTTGCAAGATTAACAAAGAACATGACATGAATCAGAAAAAAATATACATTCCCACATTTTGCAGGTATGCATGCAATGGTAAACTCTCTGTCGGACAATATTTTTTTTTTCCTCATTAAACTTTCTTTTAATGAGTTTCGAAATTCTGTGACAGATTTTTGGTCAAGTTGTTTCCAGTAAAAAGTACTGATTTTAAAAACTAATAAAACTTCCACACAAAAGAACAAAATGGTCCACAAAGCATTCCCCTTTCCTTCTGAAGGTTGTACGATGCATTGTTATCATTAACCAGTCTTCTACTATTAAACTTAAATGGCCAATTGTGATAAACAGTTCTGAGACCATTCTTCCACCACTGATTAAGACTGGGGTGGCAGGTATTAGGGATAATATTCATTTAGCCTTCTGAGCTTTCTGGGCAGACTTGGTGACCTTGCCCTCCCCAGCAGCCATCTTGCCCACTGCTTTGATGACACCCATAGCAATTGTCTATCTCATATCACAACAGCAAAATGACCCAGAGGAGGACAGAGAAGCTCTCAACACACACGGGCTTGCCAGGAACCATATCAGTGATGGCAGTATCACCAGATTTCAAGAATTTAGGGCCATCTTCCAGCTTCTTACCAGAACAGAATTGATCTTTTCCTTCAGTTCAGCAAAATTGCAAGCAATGTACAGGGGCATAGCCAGCACTGATCTGGCCTAGATGATTCAGGATAATCACCTGAACCAGCTGCTTGCATTGGTGGATCATTTTTGCTGTCACCAGCAATGTTGCCACGACAGACATCTTTGACAGACACATTTTAAACATTGAAGCCCACATTATCTCCAGGAAGAGCTTGACTCAAAGCTTCATGATGCATTTCAACAGACTTTTCTTCCATTGTGACATTGTCTGTAGTGAAGGTGACCACCATACCAGGCTTGAGAACACCAGTCTACTCGGCCCACAGGGACAATACCAATGCCACCAATTTTGTAGACATCCTGGAGGGGCAGATGCAAGGGCTTGTCAGTTGAACGAGTTGGTGGCAAGATGCAATCCGGAGCTTCAAGCAGTGTGGTTCCACCGGCATTTGTTACTCTTTCCTCTGTGTAACCGAAAGGGAAAAAAGAGAAAGAAAGAATTCACTCAAGGTAACATGAATGAGGCCTGGAGGGCCTGCCGCCCATCAGGGGAGCAGCCCCAATTCAAAAATCAGCCTTTCGTTTTATTGACAAGACAAGGAAGTTTCACAAGAAAAATCAGTTGATTGAATCATCAAAGGAGGACATAAAAACAGGCAGTGTAAAACTTGTAGTGGCAGTATATTAACAATGTGACATTCCAGAATGTAATTTGTAAAAAGCTAGGTTAATTCACCAACAAACAGCTTGTCCTTAGTAAACATTTTCTTTTCTACATACTTCCTACAGTAATTTCTTTAGCATATTTAAACAGCATTCAAGCAGTTTTCTTAACATATCTAAAGAACAATCAGTAGGTTAAATAGTTAATAGTCATTCAAGCAGGAATCAAACCAGCAACCTAAAACAAAGTACACAATCCCATCCCTAAACAGTGATTAGAATTGATTAGATGGCTTTTGCCAAACTTATCTGTGGAATGTTGTCCCCTACTCAAGAGCCCTTTGACTCATTCATGCATTACCTAAAATCCTATTCTAAGATCAAAGGAAAATCAAGATTTCTAACCCACTACAGGCATTGCCATCTTTCCAGGTGACTTTCCATCCTTTGAACCAAGACATATTAGCTGTTGGCTCCAGCATGTTGTCACCATCCCAACCAGCCAGAAACTGGCACAAATGCTACTGTGTCAGAGTTGTAGACAATTTTCATAATGTAGGTGCTGACTTCCTTAATGATTTCCTCATATCTCTTCTGGCTGTCAGGTGGTTCGGTGGAATCCATTTTCTTAACACCAACAATCAGTTGTTTCACTCCCAGCATGTAAACCAGAGAACATGCTCACAGGTCTGCCCATTCTTGGAGATACCAGCTTCAAACTCACCAACACCAGCAGCAACAAGCAGGACAGCATGGTCACCCTGAGATGTGCCTGTAATCATGTTTTTGATAAAGTCTCTGTGTCCTGGGGCATCAGTGATCATCACTAATGCTTGCTGGTCTCAAATTTCCACGGGGAGATATCAATGGTGACACCACGCTCATGCTCAGCTTTCAGTTTATCCAAGACCCAGGCGTACTTAAAGGAGCCTTTTCCCGTCTCAGGAGCCTCCTTCTCAAATTTTTAGATGGTTCTTTCGTTGATCCCACCACATCTGTAGGTCAGGTGGCCAGTAGTGGTGGACTCACCCAAATCTATGTGTCCAATGACAGCGATGTTAATATGAGTCTTTTCATTTCCCATTTTAGCTTTGATTTAGCAGTGGTTTTCACAACACCTGTGTTCTGGCGGCAAACCTGTTGTGAAAAAAAGCTCTGGAGGACAATTTAAAAATTTTTTTAAAGTACAAGGATATTTATCACAGCACTATTTATAATGACAAAAATTAGATACAAATTTAATAATAGGAAATTAAATCAAAAGATTGTTATATTTTATTAAATACTAGATAAGTATTATAATTATCTAGAGGAATGTGGATTGACATGGAAGAATATTCATATTATTGTGAAGGTATAAATTCAGGTTACAGAAAAGATTAATAGTATCTATTTTTTTTACTAAAATAAATGTATAATTTACACAAGGATGAACACAAAAATATTAGGAGTTTAAAAAGCAGTAGGTCCACCCAACAACAGCAGACTACACATTCTTTTCAAGTGCATATAGAACATTTACCAAAGTAGGCAGTATTTTGGGTCATAAGAAAAATTGTATTAAACTTAGAACTGCAGTCATACAAGGTATGTTCTCTTGCCATACTGTTATTTCATGATGTAACTAGATATCAATAACAAAGATAGGAAAATCTAACACTTGAAAATTAAAACTTACTCTTCTAAATAATCCATAGATCAAAGAGGAAGTCTCAAGGAAAATTAGAAAGCATTTTGAACTGAATGAAAATGTATACAGCATATCAAAATTTGCAAGATTCAGCTCAAAGAGAAGAACAGAAAGAAAAGATGAAGGAGGAAACCACCCTAGGCACAGAGTTTTCAAAGGCTGAGGGAAACAAATATTAGAAGAATTTAACTGGAATTTAGAAGGAATTTTCTTTCTAAATTGTTTTGTGAATGATTGTCAGATCAGCTTTTTTGATTTAATTGAGTTCAAAAGTAGCTTGTTAATCCCACTTTACCTTAAGGTGGAGCTAGGGATAGCAAAGCAGACAGCATGACGAATCAATAGGTTACTTTTGTTTCTGCTTTGCTTTGCTTTACTTAGGAAAAGAAAACTAGAATTTATGAAATTGGCAAAAGTCTTACTAGATAGATAGTACAAAATTGTCATGTTTCTGTTTACAAACTTAACTACATTTAATAAATGTCAATAACAATGAACTAATATCTTTTTTTTTTTCTCTCTCTCCTTTAGGGACCCAGAGGTGAAAAGGGCCTTAGAGGTGAAACTGTAAGTTTAACTAAATTTATGATTATAATATCCCTCGTCAGTAGGCTATAAGCTCCGTGAAAGCAAAGACGTTGTTTGAGTTGTTCATTATTGTTTCTGATACTTGTGGAATAAAATTAAAAGAATAGCTGTCAGGAAGTAAGATTAATCTATGTGTTATATGACAGTGAAATCTGATAAGCCCTAAACAAGTTTAAGAACCTGCCAATCACATTCTTCACAGATCACTGTATGAAATGGAGTATTTGCCTTGTCAGGCATTGGGACAGGAGGTGTGGGTGTCTTGTTCACCAGTTCCAGAACAAGAGCACTGCCTAGTCACTTTAGGTATATAACACCAAAGAGGGCTGCAAAGCAGAAGCAAATTTTCAGTTGTATATATTTCAGCCAATGAGTAACAATGGGGAGAGGATGGGCAAAGGTACACTCTTGGGACCTAAATGGCTTTGCTGGCACTGTTTTCCGTATTTATGACAGGTCTTCCATGTTAAAGGAGACATTTTGTAAAGGGGCCACTTTCCCAGCTGAGATCATGCTGAACGTTTTTTTTTTTTTCAATAAACTCAGTATTGTTTATATTTAAGATATACAATATAATATTATGGGATACATATAGATTGTAAAAAGGTTGCTATAGTGGAGCAAATTAACATATACATCATCACATAATTATCCATTTTTGTGTGTGTTTGTGTGTCAAGCGCAGCTAAAATCTACTCAACTGAACTAGCTGGTTAGCTCCATTAGAATATGGTGCTAACAGTAGCAAGGTCTGAGGTTCAATCCCTGTATTGGCCAACAAAAACAACAAAAATCTACTCATTTAGCATGGGATTTGTGCAGAACTTATTAAAGCAGCAGCTGTAAACAAAGCAGGCATGGAGTGAAATGAGGTAGACTGAAACTAAGTACATAAGGCCCATAAGAGTAAACTTAAAGAAAGCAGTAAAGTCTTGCTTTAAAGATAATGAGATTACATAGTAATCTCATACAGCTGAGATTCTTGCTCTCACCATAGGATATGCTTGGAACTCAGAATAAATAAGTTGCACCTATATTAATCAGCTGAAAAAGGAGAATTATGTGATTTCAGATAGCCTAAGAGTCCCAAAAGGGCATTAAAATAGATTTGTTCAATTTGCAGAAATGTGGCCCTCACCTTTTCTTGGAAGACTTCCTATAACAGGAAGCAGGAATATGTGTGCACCATCAAGCCATATCCCCCAGGAGGAGTGGAAAAGGGAAAGGAAAAGCAAGGAGTCTTGGAATTAGCACATTTTCCACACCTCTCTGGCTCTGCATGCCTCCCTGACTTATCCTTTCCAAGTACTTTGGCAGGAACATAAGTTTCCATCAGGATTAGGAAACCTCAAGTACCTATGACAATGTCACAATGATTTCATGTAAAAAAAAAATTGAGTGGCTCTAATGATAGATTACAAACTCAATGGATTATGACTGCAATCTTAGGTTGTACTGCTAGAAATAAGAGGGTACTTAAAATGTTCATGGAAAATTTGTATTACCTTTTAATTCCACTTTTCCATGAACTAACTTTTTGAATTACCCTCATATGAGATCCAGAATAAAGCAGGTCATGGCACCAGTTAGGCTGTCCTCAAAGAGAAACATGGAAAAAATTAAAGCGCATTCAGAAAAGGGCTCTCTTGGATTGGTGAATGATCTGGGAGCCATGTCCTGGGAAGACCTGTTGAAACATCTGGAATGTTTAGCCTCTGCCAGACTCTGCAGCCTGATCACATCCCTGTCTTTGTTCTTTCTGCACTCTCCTCACTTCCTGAGTTTTGCACCTGCAATTTCTCTACCCTAATCTTTATTCCTCTAGTTCCTACTCATTTTTTTTTATTTTTAAAGATGACCAGTAAGGGGACCTTAACCCTTGATTTGGTGTTGTCAGCACCACACTCTCCCAAGTGAGCCACGGGCTGGCTCTTAGTTCCTACTCATTTTGAGGTTTCAACTTAAAATTCATTTGTTCAGGGTGGACTTGCTGATGTTTTGGCTCCACGCTACTCTCACCCCTAGAGACATAATTAATGCTTTGTACCCAAGACCTGGTAAAAAAAAAAAAAAAAGTCTGGTATCCACTCTTCAGAAAATTCTCTTATCAAAGAGGTTTCTCCTGAGCAGTCTGTGTAAAATAGCAATGCCCCACCTCCCTGAGACTCCTTCCCTTTCCTCTATGTGTGTGTGCCCTTACCACCTGACATATTACCTATTTATTTGTTTTTTTGTTTATTATATCTCCCCTCACTAGAATGTACTAGACTCTATGACACAGACATTTAATCTGTTGTTATTGTCATTTAACACCTGACAGTGCCTGTCTCATAGGTGTCATTCAATAAATATTTAATGAATTATTGAGAAATGAATTAGAGAAGGTTTGGGGTTTTGGGTCATAACAGCTGTCTTTAAATATTTGAAAGGCTGTCTTATGGAATATGAGTAACCTAGAGGATAAAATTTAAGTGATTTATTTGTTGAATTTTATTTCCAATTTCTGTGCTCAGCTGAGAGATATGAGCTCTGTGAGGGCGTGAAATGTATTGATAACACTTAATTCCTGCCTGCCATCACTGATGCCACCTAGTTCACATACTATCATAGCAACTAGCACATAATTAGCACACAAAAAATACTTATTTACTAAATAAATGGAATACTGAGGCTGATTTCAGCTCAATCTAATAATGAGCTTTTTAGTATAATAATGAACTACTACACAAGATAGTCTCACAAGATAGTGAGCATCTGATTTTTAGCATCACTAAAAGCCTAAGGAAAGGGGCTGGCGAGTTAGCTCAGTTGGTTAGAGTGTTTATAACACCAAGGTCATGGGCTCATACCCCCTTACCAGCCAGCTGCCAAAAAAAAAAAAAAAAAACTGCCTACAGACCATCTCTCTGAG